TGCAAACTTTACTTGAATTCAGATTAGTTCCGCATATGGCAAAAGCACTGGAAGCTGTAAATTTGTCTAAAATAGTTTTGCAAGATTGAAATTGCCAACCTGATAAGATGGTTTTTAAATGAAGAAGGAAAATCTTTGGCAGTTTTCATAGACTCTTGACTTTCTCCTACATGTTTATTTGAGGCATAATATATTCTACTTCTCATGCCAGATGAGCCAATTCCAGTTTGAAGCAGGGCTTCCCTCCGCCCTCCCACAGTACCACCGGTTTGGCATATAGAATATTGACGGATTAAGTAGTTTGATCCTGGCTGACGGTTTCATTGGGAACACTGTCAATGCTAATGGAACAGACACCAAGCTCAGTGGAGGAGGCATTTTGCCATTTTTTTTAATGACATAGGTTCTGGTACCTCATTTAAAATCATTACTTAGAAGCCTTGTTATTTGTGAGTCTTATTCACTAAGAACATGAGCCTTGGGAGCCAGATTTGAATACTAAATTTGACACTTTTTGGCTCTGTTATTAACAGTCTAGTTACATATCCCCTCTAGGTCTCATTTTCCTCATCTGTAAAATGGGAACTCTTATTACCTAGATTATAGGGCTATACTGAGATGAAATAAGATATACATAGAAAAAACATCTAGGACAATGTCTGGTGCATAGTAAAATCTCAGTATTTATCAGTTCCTTCCCTTTGTCTCTCCCCTCCTCTCTTGACCTTCCTCAAAATGAGGGTAGAATTCACTTAAAATTTGGGCACCATATGAAATGTCTTAATCTGGTCTGTCAGCCTTAGAGGGGAGCAGTTCCACTCTTCCTGCATTAGAGCTTGAGTGAGCAGTGGGCTGCTTGTGTGGAGTCTCCTGGGGAGAGGAATGCATGGATTGGGGTTATTGGTGTCACCTCTCTGGCAAGCCACTTCTCCCTCATATTGGCAACTCCTGTAGCCCCAGCCTGGTCACAGGGCCAATTTCTTCCTGACTAGGCAGCTCACTGGGGCTCTATTATAGGGTTTCTTCAGCGGTTCCCAGCTGTATAAAGCCCAGAGGTGCCCCTTGTGTCCCCTGTGGATTTATAAAAGCAGCACCAAGCATTTACAGACCTCCTAGCATTTCTGTGAGGTCAAGTTCTAGTTGTCTACATCTTTCTAGATAATTAGGGGCTTCCCTTTATGCTGAATTATGGTTTCATGAAAAGGTCAAAAGCCCACCATGCTCAACAGAAAAACTCAAGTTCACTTTTAAGTCAGACAGGATTAAAACCTTCCCAAGGGGAATACAATCTTAGTTAAATCGAATTTTTTCTCTTTTTTTCTCTGTACCACTGTCTGTCCTCTCCTGCACTCCTGCTAAGCAACTCCTTACCCTCACAAGTGGCAGAGTAATTTTGCTGCTTTTTTGATACCGTTCGGTTCTCTGATGACCAAGGAATGCAGATGAGATTATAGTGTTTTGACTTTTTTCAAGGTCACCCTCCCAGCTCCGGGGCTTGGGGTAACCCAGACAGCAGTGGGTACTGTTAGCAAACTACCAGGCTGGTGACTTTTGTAGTAGTGATAACAAGGAATGGTTACAGGAAGGTGGTCTGAGCAGTAAATTTTAAGAACCCATATACCAAGCTAAGTTCTGTTTTTATGTAATTCATTACATAAATTGTAAAGCACATCCTTCCAGAAAATACTACTTCTTGTGTGCTAAATGTGCTGCGGTGTGTAGGTATTTATGTCTACGTATGTATGCACGCATGCATGGATATGTGTATATATCTATTTCTGTGTTTCTTTATTATTTTTTTTATTATATATTTTATTGATTTTTTACAGAGAGGAAGGGAGAGAGATAGAGAGTCAGAAACATCGATGAGAGAGAAACATCTATCAGCTGCCTCCTGCACATCCCCCACCGGGGATGTGCCCGCAACCCAAGCACATGCCCCCGACCGGAATCGAATCCGGGACCCTTCAGCCCGCAGGCCGATGCTCCATCTACTGAGCCAAACCGGCTCTGGCTATTTCTGTGTTTCTTTAAATGTGTTGCAATTTAATAATTCAGATGCACTCGTTTTAATAGTTAATGAGTAACATTAGTTTAGATACCTAAAATAAGAAAGGCTTAGGGAATTGATAATGCTAAATTTGTGATCCTTTGTCAAAGTCGGAATATCCTTTACTCTCTATGAATCCAGAAGAAAATATAGTAAAAATTTTTTTAAAGATTTAGTATGTAGTGGATATTGATTATAGTAAGGTGTGCATACTAAAATGAAAACTATGGTAGCCAAGACATCAATGCCAGATCTTGTGTCCACATCTAATTTGCAGGCCAGCAAAGTTACAAAATCATATGCCCACTTTAAATATGAGCATATTTTCAACCACTTCTTTTTTTTAAAATATATTTTATTAATTTTTTACAGAGAGGAAGGGAGAGGGATAGAGAGTTAGAAACATCAATGAGAGAGAAACATTGATCAGCCACCTCCTGCACACTCCCCACTGGGGATGTGCCCGCAACCAAGGCACATGTCCTTGACCAGAATCGAACCTGGGACCCTTGAGTCTGCAGGCTGACGCTCTATCCACTGAGCCAAACTGGCCAGAGCTTCAACCACTTCTTAAGTGACAGCTATGGTTATTGTTTAAAAAATTTAGGTTCATAATCGAGGTAGGTATCTGAATAGAAGAGATTTATTTTGATTTTATTTCTCTCTGACTTGCTTCCTGAAAGGAGATGTTTTTAAAAATGCTGCTTTTGTGATAGGCAGTAGTGTAGTGTAGATAAAAGCCAATAACCTTTCACTGTGAAGAGTCACTAGTCTCTCCCAGACTGATGACCTTGAGTTGATATGGCTGATTGGTGTTTTGAGAATTCAAGGCCTAAAGAAATATGGAATGGAAGTTTTATTTTTTTCTTCTGTGAAAACATTAGTTACCTACAATCTGATTTAATTTGGGCACAGCTTATCTTCTTTAGCTTCGGGTCACAAAGCAATTTATCATTTCTTAAAGGTCTTCCTAATTGATCAAATGTCATTTGAGAAACTCATGCACAGCCTTAAGGCCTTTCTACACAGCATTTCACTTGCCTTTTTACTGAAATTCTAATTTGTGAATCTCAGTGTTATCTGTAGGGTTTTATGATAAGCTTCCCTTCTCTGACCTTGTAATCTTTCACAAAGTTAACGGTTTTTTTTTCTGCATTTTATGTTGTTCTATCAATATAGAAGCCTGCAGTTAATTTATTGTCATGGTATTTTATTAATTGCTATAAAATGGAGTACTAATATGTTCGATGTATTTCAACGGGTTTGAAGATGTGGCTGCAATTCTTTGGTGAGCATATTCTCTCCTTGTGGCCGAGTGTTTGGTGAGCATAGACTAGTGACAGGAGTTAGTTACATGGTTTAACTATGTAGTAGCATCAGGCCTACACATTGTCTTTTAAAATTAGGACATTCTTTACTCCAGAACCTAATGGGGCATGAAATTGCCAGACCCTCTACATATGTGTGTTAATTACTACATTTTTCTTTTTGGTCACAGTATTCTTGGGATTTTTCCACTTCCTGTATATTGACCTCTTCTTGGAAAATCATATCTTGTGATTGCTTCCAAATTTTGTTGACATCATTCTTTGCTCATGTGCAAACTTGCAATGCTTCAATCAGCAGCTATTGGTATACTGTTCATTTCTTTGATGAGGAGACAGAGGCAAGGGTGTAAGAGGACTTCTTGCATGTCAATGTTAAGTGAGCCTGCTTAAGGGTTGGGCTAACTGTTGACCAAGTTATTTAGGAAACCCAGGTCTCACTGACTCAAGAACTTTTTTAAGATCAGGTGCCTCTCTTTTTCTTATTGGGAGTCTCATGGTTGACCTCGGATGGGAACATACTGAGAGTTTCAGGAAAGAGTTTTTCTATGTGGTAGCACAACACTCAATAGTATCCCAGCCAGGAAAGAGGATTATCTCACAGGAGCCAGCCACTTCTCCCTGGCCAGCTCCCAGCTTCCTAAGATCAGTGCCAGAGTTGATAAGGCCTTTTCTTAAGGCTGCTCCACCTGTGGTTGCTTGGGCCACAGCAGAACTCTCATTGGTAGTATTCTGTGGGGTGAAGTGAGATGGGATGGACACAGTGAGGTGGATTGGGAAAGCAAGAGCACTCAGACTCCGATTTCTTTCTTGGGTTTCCAGCTCTGCCCCTGGACGTGGTGGTGGTAGCTTGATTTCAGAACTCTGTGCTTAAGTCTCCTCTATTGGGATTACATTAAGAATCATGAGAACAAAATATGACATAATTTTAAAGTGTTCTGTTTATATTAAAAGTATTCTGTTACTGCTTTTGATTGGCCAGTCTGCAACCTTGCTTTAGAAATCATGTTTTATCACTCTTCCACAAAGAAGTCCAGCTCAGCTGTTTGCAACCAGGCTGACCCCCTCAGAATGCCCTGGAGTTGTTTTTAAAATACAGATTCCCAAAGCCTCTATAATTATTATGTTGGAATCTGCATTGGTGCCAGGCCACTGTGCACTAAAAACCTTCCCAAAGGGTTTCTGATGATAGGTCTAATTTGGGAGCTGTGGGTCAGAGTGCAGTGACCTGCTCACACTCTTGCTTCTTATTCCTACCTCCCAAGTACAGCTGTGCCACCTGGAAATAGGCCTCAGCTTTCTTGTCATTTACATTTAACACAAAATAACAAGTCAATTCAGTTCTGAGCTCACACAGCTCTCTGGATACTCGGTGGATATTTGAACATTGTAGGCAATTCTGTACTAACCAGGCACCCTGTGTGGATAGAAGCTGTGATGTGCGATTAACATCATCACTGCTGAGACAGAAGTTAGGATTTTCCACTCAAATTTTTGTAAAACTATCAGGTGGATTGTGATAGAGAGCTTCTTTATAAATGTCTTCATCAAAGTAGATTGATTAAATAATGTGCATTTTTTGCCTAAGATAAAATCAGATGCTTTTTATTTTATTCCTTTTTTAGATTTAGAGCATTGATGGTGACTATATGGCATTATGTAAGCCAACTGGAGAATGCTATTTCTACTGTGGATGAAATGGTATGAGTCATTGATTAACAGGTCAGTAGTGAATTGCCGCAGAATGCTATAGATCTTTGTGGCAGGATTTTGGGAGCAGAGAAGATGTAGTTTTAGTTGTCATTTGTCTTTATTTTGGGGAGGGTTCAGAATGTGCTTTGCAGGTTTTTAATAGACTTTTAAATTTAAAATTCTGTCCTTAGAGATTGGCTAAAACAGAGTGTGACCGTGTGTGTGTGTGTGTGTGTGTGTGTGTGTGTGTGTGTGTGTGTGTGTGTCTGAGGGGAATTTTATAACCTTTTCTTTTTAGTAGTAAATGATTTTTATTTTATTTATTTTAAATATGTTTTTATTGATTTTTAGAGAGAAAGGGAGAGGGAGAGACAGAAACATCGATGAGAGAGAAACATCATCAATTGGCTGCCTCCTGCACACCCCTCTATTGGGCATGGAGCCCACAACCCACGCATGTGCCCTGACCAGGAATGGAACCGGTGATCCCTTGGTTCATGGGTCGACACTCAACCATTGAGGCACACCAGCTGGCAATGATCTTCTTAACTGTCATGATCGTAAAGCATCAAACACTTGAATACCAGGCATTTTGAAGAGATATACAAATGTTAAACACCAATATATAGATAAGGAGAAAAATAACCCTTGCCTATTCTACTGCTTGTGAAATTATAAATGAATTTTAGATGTGTATGAAAATAGAGTTATGCATGGTGAGGATGTTGCCAAATTATAATGTTAAGATAAGTCATTTTGAGGTATGTGTGTGAGAGAGCAGATACCATACTTATATTTATTCATCCCTGATAATTTAATCATTATGACTCTTGTGATGGTTCCTCTGATAATGTGTCAGGTACAAACCAGCTTGATTTCTTGAAGGAAAGATTTGGCTGTTCCAGAGCCTTTTTTTATTTCAATACTTAGGAATACTTTTGAGTTAAAGAAAAAGTCTTTTGGTTTAAAGAATAACTGTTGCAGAACTGGAATTGTTTTATTGAGTTACCTTTTTCTCCCTAGAAAATCAGGTGAAATGCTGTGTTTAGAACTTTGCTAAATTTGAGTTAGGGTATACTCTCCTTCCTTTTATGCCAGGGACAGGAGAGAGACAAATAGAGACATAGAGAAAAAGAGAGGAGGGGTGAAGATAACAAAATTGGATCAGTTGGTTTTGAGGCTGGAGCCTCAATTAGGTGGTTAGCACTGGGCCAGTCTGCCAAAAATCGTCTTTTTGGCCATCTGTGCCATATTATAGGAAGTAATGGCCTTGGGCACAGCTGCTGAGTTTAATATGTATTTCTAACTGGTGTATTGATGATAATGACCACAGAGAAGTCCGGTGGCCCAGAGTGCAGAACAAATAGAGAACCCAACCCACACATGTAAATTTAGAAGTGGAAGAAAAAAAATCTGTATTTTTACATTGGCAAATGAGAGTAGGTGTTATTTAAATCTCCAGGTAGAAATTGAACCTTTCCTACCTTCATTTCTGTATAGTAGCTTTCTCCTAAGGAATAATGATTCATAAGAGAGATTGACCCTGAATTTTGGCATTTCTTTTTTTTAAATAAGTTTTTATTGATTTTCTCTTTTTAAAATATATTTTTGTTGATTTCAGAGAGGAAAGGAGAGGGAGAGAGAAATAGAAACATCAATGATGAGAGAGAATCATTGATCAGCCGCCTCCTGCATGCCCCACAGTGGGGATAGAGCTTGCAGCCTGGGCATGTGTTCTGAACTGGAATCAAACCCGTGACCTCCTGGTTCATAGGTCAAGCCAGACTTTATTGAGTTTCTTTAGAGAGAGAGAAAGGAAGAGGAATAGAAACATTGATGATAGCGAAACATCATTGGTTGGCTACCTCTTGCATGCCCCCTACAGGGGATTGAGCCCACAACCCAGGCATATGCCCAGATAGGGAATTGAACCCGTGACCTCTTGGTTCCTGGGTCAATGCTCAATTGCTGAGCCACACTGGCTGGGTGTATTTTGGCACTTCTTTGAAATGCTTCACGCTCTGACATTTTCTCTGACATTGATATTTTTATAGAAGGTGGATTTCATCAATGTATCCCAACATCCATTGATTGGATCTTTTCCTAGCTCAGCTGGCCCTTTAAGGAGAATCGCTGGGGATGAGTGACTGCCATTTGGCATCACTGTACTTTTCATTGGTTAACTTGGACCAGGAGCAGGACCTTCCCAATCATGTTAAGTCTAATGTCATAGAAGGATCATTAAGAAGTTATAAGACTGTCAGCTGTTGAGTAGTCCCAAAGATAAAAGAAGGCCAAGAATCAGGATTTTAAATAAACATTCATTTCTAATGAATGTATTAAAAGGAAACCTACCTTATAGTGACGTTGATCGTTAAAAGAAAGTTACTAAAATTTTGTGCAGGGATTTGGGCATATATAATATAGCTGAGTAGCAGGTCCCCAATGCGTCCTGTTCAAGTTTTCCTTCTCCAAACCTGCCTTGTCCAGAGCTTCTATCTTTAGTTGCTCAGGCCCCAAACCTCGGAGTCATCCTGGTTTCTTTTCCCTCACAGCTCACATCCAGCAGTCAGGAAATTGTGTACTTTCCAAGTATTCTCAGAACCTGACACTTCTCCCCACCTCTTGCTGCCACCATGGTCTCCGCCAGCATCATCTCTTGTTTAAATTAATGTCAGGGATCCCCGGTCTCTTTTGCCTCCCATGGGATCTTCTCAATACAGCAGCCAGAGTGATCCTTTTCAAACCTGAGTTAAGTCATCTGACTCTTTTGCTCAAAACTGCAGTAGCTTCCATCCCAAATCAATACTCTGGCACCATCCATCCTCTCTCATCCCCTGTCCTCACCTTCTACCCGTTCCTTGTCCACTCCTACTCTGGTCTCACTGGCCTTCTTTTCTGCTTAGAGCCTATGCCCACAGCTCCTGGTTCCCTGGGCCTGGATGCTCCTCCTCTTGCCTGTCCCTCACATCCTTCAGGACTTTGCTTATGTGCCACCTTCTACTGAGGCCCACTATGATTACCTTACTTAAAACAGCAACCTACCTACCACCACCACCCCTCCCCTCTCAGTTCACCGTACCCGGTATTTCTGTTTTACACAGCTCTTAGCACTTTTTACTGGGGGATACTGATATACCATAAACATAATCCACTGTACTGAAGTACAGTTTCAGTAATTTTTAGCAAATAAATGTATATAGAGCTTCACAGCCATCACCACAATCCACTTTTAGAATATTTCTTTCATCCTCCAAAATTTACTTGTGCCCAATTTCAGTTATTCCCCACTCCCACTCTATCGTAGCCTCTGATCTGCCTCTGTACCAATAAACTTGCATTTTCTAGACATTTCAATATTGGCCTTCTCTGACTTTGTACCACCGGTGTTTAACATGCTCAGCAAATGTGTTTAAAGAAGCTGTGTATTTGCATACAATTAAAACAGTTCATATTTCATAGGCATCTGAGCTTATTTGCAGATAACGAGTGTTTTCCCAGTATTCAGCCATTAGGGCCTCTCAGTTTCTCCCTCCCAAAATCTTCCATGTGCTCCTCCCTGCTTCCCATCTCCTGGCTGCTCTTCTGACTCAGTTGTTCAGCACTGCTGATTATTTGCTAGTGTCTGAGCCACTTGCTTTTTTCTTCCATCCCTTCCTGTGAACTGCTGTCAGAGTAATATTGTTAGAAACTTGATTTCCATAATTTCACTCTCCTGTCTAAAAACTGCCAGTGATTTCTTTAAGACCCATATGGGTTAATTATTCTCAAAAAGCACTTTTACACTTGCCTTCTCATTCTGCCCAGTGCTAACCATCTCCCTTTCCCAGGCTCTGTAAATATGAGTTTAGGAGATACTGATTTCCATACAACGTCTAGTGTCATGTATGTCTGACTCCTAAGCCTCTTTGTCAAGCAGGATGCCATTTATGAAAACAAAAACAAAACCCTTAAAGCCTCCAGGAGTTGGCTATGTAAAGAAATCCAATAATTTACCTGTATTATATTTTCCCAAATTGGGTATCCTCAACACAACACATTTCCAAATTTGCTTTATGCCAAGGATTTTTGTTTGCTTGTTATCGAGGGTGTCTCTGGCCACCAGTGTACGAAGGAGAGCTATGGGAGAGCTATGTGGAAACAGAACAACACATGTCTGGCCAAAGCCCTCCAGCACTGGGACCAGACCTTAGCTCTGTTGGGTTCACTGTTGTTCCCTCCTGAGGTCCTGGGCAGGGCTGAGTCCCCCAGTGGAGGTCTTTTCCTCCGAGATCCAGCCTCTCCTGTGCTTGGCGTGTGCTACAGATGCCACACCCAAGGTTCCCCATGCCGTTTACTGCTTCTGGCTCCTCAGGTCCACCCTGATGGCCAGTGATGTTAAAGCTGCCTCTGGACTCCACTGTGCACCAGCCACTCACCTCCCCCATTGCCAGTGGGCTCTGGCTGCTTGTGGCTGCCTCTCTTTCTTTGTGCACCAACAACAGTGGCGTCTGCACAAGTGGAAATGGCTTTGAAGACAGACAGCCCTAAGGCTGAGTCCCAGTTCTTTCATTTACTAGTTGTTTGGTCTCAGGAAAGTTATTTATCTCTTTGAACCTAAGTATCCTCATTTGTACTATGGGGACAATTATACTCACTTTGCAGTATAATCATGTGGGTCAAGTCCAATAATGTATGTAAAGTGTCCTTGTCCCGCCCAAAGTAGGCACTCAGTAAATTTTTGCTATCTGCTGTTGAGATTATTAGGCAGTAGCAGGAGAGCCCTGGGAAATAATGGTCGCTCCCCTATCGCCGGGGAGAGCAAGCCTTTCTTTCCATTATCATCTCCCCTGGAAGTGCTGGTAAGAAGAATGTAGACAGTGCCATTCTGACCAGCACCTTTGTTTTCCAGTACTCAGCCCCTAGTGCTAATGAACAGCTGTGAGTCAGGCACCACACCTGGTCTGCTTGTGTGTCCTCCCCGCTTGCTCTCACTTCAGGATGAAAGCCATGAAGTATTCTGTGTTGTTATTGCTTCTTAAATATGCCGT